GATGGTTGAAATATAAATGTGGAGAGGTCTGGCAGATCAATTACATCACACTCCTGCAGACCCACCAAGGCAAGCACTATGTGCTGACAATGGTGGGAACAACCACTGGATGGCTGGAGACATACCCTGAGCCTCATGTCACTGCCCAGAACACCATCTGTGGCCTTTAAAAGCAAGTCCTGTGATGACTTGGCACCTCAGAAAGAATTAAGTTGGACAACAGAACTTATTTCAAAAATAGCCACATAGACATCATATTCCCTATCATGCACCAGTATCTGTGAAAATTGAATGGTACAATGGACTGTTAAAAACCACATTGAAAGCAATGGGTGGTGGAACCTTTAAACATTGGGATCTACATTTAGCAAAGGCCACCTGGTTAGTTAACACTAGAGGTTCTACCAATTGAGCTGACCCTGCCCAATTAAAGCCTCCACATACCATAGAAGGGGATAAAGTCCCTATGGTGCATATGAGGAATGTGTTGGGAAAGAGTTTGGATTCATCCTGCCTCAAGCAAAGGCAAACCCATCTGTGGGATTGTTTTTGCTCAAGGACCTGGGTGTACTCGGTGGGTAATGCAGAGGCATGGGTAAACACAATGTGTACCTCAAGGGGATTTGATTTTTGGGTGAGAACAACTGGTAACGTTGAATTGTATAATATTGGTTGTTGAATGACACTGCCACTGTATGCCATAACTACCATGAACAATGAATATGGACTGTTCTAGATGCACCAGTCATGAGGTCCTGATGCAGCTTGCAACCAGCTGACAGCACAGCAGCCCTCCTGCCCTGGAAGACATCTAGGACAGATAGAACCCACAGTAATGGAGTAAATGACCTCAACAGACATCTTGGAGGGACAGTCATTAACTATGGAAATACCTGTGTTTGTATATATATTTATAGTTGGAAGGTGTAGGATCTGGGCATGATGTAGATGGTATAGAATAATGGGTGGATAATGTCCTGGTTCTGGTCAGGACAGGGGTAAGTTTTGCAGTAGCCAGGAGGGGCAGTTATTCTATACCACCTCTTGTTGTTGGGGTAGCGCGGTGGCAGTTCATGTATTACCGGGCTTCACATGGTGAGCAATCGCATGTGAATCATTTGCCTCTTTCTTGCACATTGTTATTAGTATTGTTACTGTTACTGTTCGTTTCTTATTTCATTGCTGTTTCCAGTAAATTGTTCTTGTCTCAACCTGTGATCTTTACCTTTTGTGCCTCCAATTCTCTTCCAGCCTGCTGAATGGGGAAGGGGGAGGGGGGAGTGAGTGAGTGGCATGTGGTTTGGAGTGTTTCAGTGGGAACACTAAATTGGGGAATACTATTCCTAAACCATGGCAGAGGGGACACAACTAGGCTGGCTGACCCAAATTGATCAAAGGGATATTCCATACCAATTACATCAGCTCAGATATAAAAGCTATGAAAAGGGGGAGGAAAGGGGGGTATTCGTTATTTATAATGTTTGCCATCCAGAGCAACCACTACACATGCTGAAGCCCTGCTTAACGGAAAGTGGCTGGTCATAGCTTGCTGATGGGAAGTAGAGAATAAACCTTTTTTTTTCTCTTTGCTTGTGCATGCCAAACTTTCACTTTTGCTTTAGTAAACTGCCTTACCTCAACCTACGAGTTGTTTTCCATCTTATCTCCCCTGTCCAGCTGAGGAGAGGGCATTCAGCCAATGTCAATTCAGTACAATTACTTATCTAATTCAAGACCTCTGAGGCATACATGCAAAAATCATTGTTTTCAAAGCTGATAGAACTACCTCTACTCTGTGAAAATATTCAACCCATGAAATATAATGTAATGGCCAGTCTCTTCGCGAACGAAGAACCGGGGAAGGTCTTTCCACCTTCCAGCCTGCGCATTGGATTTTTTCGGTGAGACACAGTGTGCGCAGAACTGAGCCCACCCTTTAATCCTGAGGTTCATCTGCCGGGGCCAAGCACGCTTGGACGGTGGCAGTGAGGTCCTCAGGACGTAGATGGATTGCCTTACAGGGCTAACGAGCTCCATCTGCCCGGGGAG